TTCCATTCATAGAGCGACTGGGGAAATGAAAATGCAAATTGAGGCGTTTAAAGTCGCGTACAAATCGCGCACCGCAATTAAACGGCGCCCCGAAACGCGTGCCCCATGGAACCCGCCTCCCGGTCGATTTTATGGCTGTATTTTATGCGAGCCATGTCTGGCCTGGTATCAGCCCATATAGGCATAGTTTGCGGCTAATGACTCCTCATCGAGATCGGGAATCGGGGAATCGGGGGAGCTGGGACGTAGATGCAAATGGGAAATGTCCGAGACGCCTTGTCCACTCATTAAGTGGTGTTGGTCAACCAGTTCCGAGGACAGCATGATGGATTGCCGGCCAGCTGAATAACTCGGGCCCCAATCGCTCATTCAGCCGGCCCATTCATTCATCCATTCAACCGCCTGTCGACGTATCGTATCGAGCTGGAAAAGGCCGAAACTAAAACCGAAACCTGATTGCGGTAAAAGGCCAAATTGGACCGTTCTCGTTGCCCTGGTCGATGCCTCGGGGCCAGCATTGGCGTTAGTCATCGTCGTCATCATCATGAGCCTGATCCCGCTGAATTGACCGAATTAAAGCTCTGGGATTGCGTGGAGCGGGCAAACCAGTTTCCGCCTGGCCACCACACTCCACCAACTCCGCCGTCCGTCCGACTCCAAAAAGGCCAGGAGAAATTGCCACAGTCAAAACAATTAGACGGACGGACCAGGCTCGCGTCTTCAACTTGTTGCCGCCGCGGATAAAAGTGTATATCTTGTGCTGGGAAAGTAAAAAGTGTCTAATTAAATAGTTGGCCTGACTGCCTGCGGAAAATGGTAGAAGCTATACGAAGTGGAAATACCCTGAGTAAGCATTAAAGTATTTTTAATGAATCACTAAAGGCCTTATGACACTTGCTTGATTTTGGACTGCATGGTTTTATATTAAAAAGTTGGAGAAAAAAGGTTCTTCAGCTCAACAGGTATTATAAATTCATATACTACCTCATCTTTAGATTGCCATGACTTTTTTAAACAAATAAAGTCAGTTATTTAAAAAAGAAGGCAGTGTCATAAGGCTCTAACCACATATTACCGAACATTATAGCGAACTATGGCTCTCCCATTTACGCAAAAGTTATCTAATCATTGTTAATCTCACAACTCATCTTATCTCATCTTAAGTAAGCAAGCCAACTTTTACTTAGAACTATCAGTTTTAGAAAACAGCATTTGGCACTGAAAGTCCAGTTCACTGGGTTACTGGGTAAGTAAGATTCATCAGTAATTTCCCACAACTGGAAGTCACTGAGTCAATACGAAAGGGTTGTTTTTACGCAGTAAATTAAATTTCACCAGCATTTAGTGAATGTACCCAGCCTGAATAGAAGGGCACAGCAGGCAAACAACAATTAACATAAATTGCTTACGCGATGCGGCCCATTGAGTGCGGACAAGGGGTTAAGGGGTCACAGTTGCCGCCCGTCAATCATTCGAGCAAACGAACTGCGGCTCTTGAATGGGCGAGCGGCAAGGGTTTCCCATTTCCACGGCTGCCAGTTGCCAGTTGCCGTTTGCCTTTTTTACGGCTGCAGCGGAAACTTCAGGCTGCACCTGTCGCAAGGCGGCGGTAGGTGTGATAAGCATCGCATCACAACAAAAGATTAACACGCCGGAGCGGGACAAAGAGCAGAGTCCGTCGGTCACATGGACAGGTCTCCGATTTGAGACGCCCAGGCGGCAGGGTCTCAAACGACCTGCTGCTTGGATATGCACTGCTAAAAATAAGGTTTAAGTTTATGTTCAGGGGTGTCACAAAAATCTCTTCCAACCAAAACTAAGCCTCCGATCACAGAAACCGTTTTAAAATAAAGTAGACTGTTTAAAACCAATCGAAACACTAACAAAACTCTGTAGATTTTAGAAAACCAACTATTTCCAGAACCGTCGGACACCCCAGATTATGGTATTTCCTATACCAGTAACATAACAAGTAGGATACTAAATCAGAAATAACTTTTTTGATGTTGAATAGCTGATCCTAAAATAGTTAAATGGGAAAATAGAAAAACTACCAAAAACTGTTTTGTATTTCATAGCCGTGTTTTTCTCACTGTACACTTAGACGAACAGGAAACCGCCGGGAGGAGACCTTGAAGACCCTAGGTAGGTTGTATTGCAAGCAGTTAGGTAGTTGCCACAAGGGCAACACCTTTGGGTTGACAGATCGAATTACCGAAGAAGCGCCCTAGCCAAGTGTTGCTCCTAACTGGGTCACATTACCAGTGTCAAACGATCGAAATCGAACCTTACTTTCACTAAGGATTGATGCGGAAGTGATGATGAATCCGTAAAACAACGATTCAACAGGATGGAATGCCTAATGAGGATCATAAACAGCAATACTTATGATTCGCTTGGACCGTAAAACTAATTTCGAGTTATGATCAATAAAAAACCTTTCAAGTTGCCAACGAGAACAATGACTCCTAGAGGAAATCGACTGATCTTGCGTTTTAAGTTGCCAATTTTAACGATCGCAGCAATTTCGCGGGCATGCAAAACATCCATAAAATGCAATTCTTACCTCAAGCTATGTAGAGCTGTGTGTTTTTTTTTCACAAAAGTAATTTAAACTTTAACACCCAACAATTCACGCTGGCGATTCAGTTTACTCGAGTGCTGTCTTATAATTTGGACACTTCACCTTCTATTTATAGTTTGCGTCGTGCCAAGTGGCTTCGAATTAGATGATAAACCCGGTAATTGGTTGTACAATCGCGATCGATTAAAAGCTTCCCCGTCGGACTGACTAACCGCAGATAGGTTCGACCGATCCGGTGGAAGTTCAATAAAATTGGAATCGAAAAAAGGCGGCGATAAGCCGGCGACTCCAACGCAACGCAGTTAATGAACTAAGGGCCCGTCGGACCGGTGAAACACTCTATTGGATCCCACGAACCTCGGATATCTCCTCCAACGAACTGCCCACGACGAACTATGTATGTTCAACAGTTTGTCATATGCACTTTCCGAATTATTTATTATTTACGTGGGCATCCAATTCGATTTGCAAGTCGATCTCTTTATAGGGTTTTCCGAACTTTTGGCGCACTTCTGCTCATGTAGCGTGGGTATTTATTATGGGGGTGTCAGAATTTCACTTATACTTTTATATCACAACGATGCCTTCCGAAATACGCAGATACGAAAGAGATTTACCTCCGCGACCATTCCGCTCCGTTCGAGATGAAAACAAACATTGACCAGATTCCCACGCGCGTCCGAACAGCTGGCGATTTTTTTTGAAAAACCCAACAACAAAATGCGGGTGTTCCTTTTATAGTTCGCTTCTGGTGTGACCGTTGCGCAAAATGGCCGAATACTTTTTGCTGACAGGCTATATGGGATTTGTATAAGAGTTGAGGTAACATTTGGCTGATAACAGGGCTCTGTTAAAATAAATGAGCGGGCTTTTTGAAATTATGTTAGGTGATCAGGTTATTTGAAACTATCTATTATCTACACTCCTATAAAATACAAAAACATTTTATATCTTATGAAAATCAGTCTTTAACATGAAATATCCTTGATTCTTGGGGCGATTTCCAAGGATTTCCGTTTTTCCAAATTTCAATTTGTCCGAAAAATTTAAAGACCAGATAAACTTGTGAAACAAGTCTGTTTTTTAACTCCTTTCATTTATATGAACGAGAAACCACAACAAAGGCCGTCAATCACTGAATTGATTGTGAAATGAGCAGTTCTTTTTAGTTTACACCTTAAAAGTAAAATTCCCGCTTAAGAAAAGGCCCTTTAAAATGTTCTGTGATAGAACTTCCCATTAACAGTACACAAAAGTATACAAAATTGAAAACACAGTTTGTTCAGTTTATGAATATTTATTGTAAAGGTGGATTATTTTCAAAAATATGTTAAGACTATGGCCTGTAGGTTGATCGATAAGCAAGGAGAACACAGACATCGACTCTCATGTCTAAAATTGCTTTTGTGGGTATTATTACATTGTATATTGGGTAAAAGAAAGTTCATGCAAATGCAGTGGGTGTGGGCTATAGTCGGGGCTCATGAATTTTCGCCCTTCTAGTCAAAACATGGAAAACAAAAACGCACTCGCGACAATCGCCACATTTCGGAGGCAACAACACCAATGGAGACGAAAGAGTTGGGTAAAAGTATTGTATGTAAATTAAAAACTAATAAACGCAAATTAAATGTTAAAGATAAAATAGATGTGGCAATCGAACATACCACTGAGAGGCGAGACTGAGGGAGACAGGAACGAATCGGAGCGGACCAGAGCAAGGACCACTATCCACTATCCAGCGTTGGGCTCAAGTCAACGTTGGATGATGCACAGCAAATCCGTGAAATGATAACGACAGGGGCGCGAAGGCCTCGAAATACGCGGTTCCCTGGGTGAGCTAGTGTTTGGGGGTGCGATCCGAAGAAGGCGACAACAACGTGTGTGACTCTGTCCAAGCGAATCCTATTCCCGACCGTTAGGAGGATGCCGAAGAAGGGGCGAGGCTCGAAGAGATGCGTCCGAGTCCGAAACTGTTCGCTCTAGTCCTGTCCAAGGGCAACTCAGGTGTTCCTCACCGTTACCGTGTCATTGAAATCCTCCTCCTCCTCCACACATCCGTTAACCTGAACACGACCAAAGCTCACACACAAATCCTTCAACAATGCGAAATTCCTGTCTCCTCCTCCTCCGAGGTGCGAGTTAGCCGTGGGACACTGCATCCCACGTTGTCCTAGCGAAGGGCTCAGAACAATCCTAAATCCAAATCCATTCCTGATAACCATCTGATAAACATACTATGTTTATAAGATCTATAGACATGTCCTGCCTCCTCTAATTTTAATCCAAATTTATCCAATCCACGCCAAAATCAACATCAAAATATCCTCCTCCTCCTCCATTAATCCTCATCCTCCACATCCTCATCACTCTCCAAACATAAACGCGCAAAATGGGGAAGAGAAGAAAATAAAAATTAAAGTATTAATAGTTTGTTTTTCAATGTGGTTGACATTGCGTTGTGTTCGGGTTTCTGTTTCTTTCTCTCATTATAGACATATTTATTCTGTATCGATGTTTCTTGTTTTCGTTAAGGTAGATTCTAATAAATTACGCTTGGTGAATATGCAGCCAAAGTTCAGTTTATATTATAATTTTAGTGTGCAGAGGCAAAGGCTCAAAATAAGACAAAAGCAAATCAAGGAATGCCGACGGGTTGTAGCCAAAGAGAATTCCCTGGTTTACCAGTGCCATTTTTGAACAGTTTTTGTCAAATTATTTCCGGTGGATTATAATTTAAGAGAACATCTCTGCTTCTTAGAACGTGTGATACAGTTGGAAAAGCAAGTTGTTTTTGAAATATGTTTGTATGTTGGCTTCGATGAGAGTTCGGAATTTGAATGATCAAACTTGATTGGTTCGCAGATGGCTTGAATAGTCAATTTACAAAGTGGTATATGTGGGGGTCGGTCTTGAACAAATATTCAATGGGCTTTCTTAATTTAGCTTGCTTTTCCTAATGTTTCCTGCTCGTAGAAATATTATATATTAATGGATAATGCTTGGTAGTGTTTAATAGTTAGAGCGAGAGCGAGACCTGGAATAAGATTGACGTCGCACTGGGGAGTAGGTTGGTGTGCCACGACGACGAGGTCGTGACGAGAAAGAACGCGAGCGAGATCTGTAAGGAGGGATTCAAAAAATAAATACTTGACAATAAACTGTAGTAATATTTAACAACCTGTCGCGGTAGTCCCGGCCTCCTCCTCCACCACCGCCGCCGCCACCACCACCTCCTCCACTACCGCCGCCGCCACCACCACTGCGATCGTTATCACCGCTATCCTCGCGTACGCGAATGTAGGCAACCTCGCCCTGAAAAGGTAAAAATGATTGTGAAATTGTTTAAGTGTCACTTAAGTTTACGAATTTTTCTAACAATTAATCTGAGTTTAGCTTTAATATAACAGAACGAATGACTAATGATGATGAATAACTTCGTTACTTTGTTTCATCAAATATATTGACAGTGATCCGAGTTTCAGGGTGAATAACAAATTAGGGAACAAACGCCCTATTAAATTATTCAAACTGCTGAATAATGTATGCTGTCAATAAAATGCATAGGTAAATTGCCTATGTACCTTGACAGACGAATACATTTGAATGTTACAAAATGGTAAATCTAGAATTTACATACCTCATGCGAACGGAAGCGAGAGTCGTCCAGCTTTTTGATGGCGTACTTCATGTCCTCGTGACGCAGGAACTCCACCACGCCGGACCCGTCCTTGTAGGTGTCTGCGAAACAGACGTCGCCGGCCTCGCGCATGTGGTCCTTGAGATCCTGCCACGATCCGGAGGCGGGCAGTCCGGTGACCATGACGCGATACTGTGAGCGCTTGGCCGGGGGTCCGCGTCCGCCCATGCGTCCGCCGCCGTCCCGGCTGCGGTCGTTGCGGTTGCCGCCGCGATAGCTGCCCGGACCACCGCCCCGTGGGAATTCCACGCGTAGGCGGTACCCGTCGTAGTCGTAGCCATCGCGCGCCTTAACCGCATCATCGGCATCGCTGTTTTTGGCGCCAATCGCGGACGAGGAGGAGTCGGTAAAGATGTTCCGAGGTCAAGGGGGAATCGGGAAAGATGAGCGCAAATTAGTTGGGTGTCGCCTCCAGCCAACTGGCCAGTGTGTATTCGCCTTACTCACCGCGCATCTTCGAACTCAACAAAAGCAAATGGCGGACCACGCCGATTCTTCAGGTCGACAAATGTAACTTTGCCGAACTTGTGGAACAGATCCTGGATGTCCTTGGTGCGGATGTCCGGCGGCAGGTTACCCACATAAATGCGGCACTCGTTGCGTGATCCCATTTTTTCCAGTTTAAATCAGACGATGTGGTTGACTTGCTTGCTGAAATTCTTGTTCGATTTTCACAGAACTTTTTCCTGTCACGCAAATACAAATGGCCGACGCAGTATGACCGTTGGAGGGAGTTAAGAAAATCTCTTGGACAGGGTAGTTATCGATAGACATAGTGGTGGATCGACGCTAGAGGTGGTAATATCAGTACTTACCTGGTAAGTACTTACTTTGGTAATCACATGAAAGGCTTACCTCATTTGACACAAAAGAATTAAGTGTCTTTTTTGGAGTAGTGCCTCCATATTACATCATTTATTTTCAAACCTGTTATGTGAGGCTGTGCGTCAGCCATCGCATATTCAATAAAATCTGGTTATCCCTATTAAATTCCTGAAATGTTGCAAATTCAACCAACAATTTCAGAAATAAAGCGGCCCGAAATGTTTGATATTAAGTTTCCAAACAGTTCTGATTATGATCATGTGTATTTTTATTTATTTCGTACCTTCAAATTCTAAATATATGTTTTAAAGTGCTTGAAAAATAGTCTTTATATTATTAAATAACATGGTAAGGTCAGTAATTATTTAATAATTAAACACATTTGTTTGGTATCGTAAAAGTTTTCTTATTATCGAACATCCAATAGTTGACTGCGCTATCGCCATTCACCCCGAGCTGGGATGCAGCTGCAGTGCCACCTCTAGCAGTGAGCGTCGTTCAGACAGTCGAAGAAAAAAACAACAAATATTTGCATGTGCAATAAACCAAACGTAAATAGCATTTCGCCAACCACTGAGCCGTCGGGAAAATGGCTGCGGCCGGAAGCAACGTCCGCTGCATCAACTTCTACGATTTGTGCCGCATCTGCACGGACAGCAGCGATCACAAGACGAACATCTACTCGCCCGAGGGACGCGCCAAGAACCTGAGCAACAAGATTCTTGAGTGCCTCTCGCTACAGGTCGAGTTCCTTGTCCAAAATGCATATTTCTCTTGGCTAATAGACCCTCTTTCCTTGCAGATCGATGAGAAGGATCGCTTGCCCAAGGTGGTGTGCGCCCAGTGCGTGCAGCAGGTGGAGCAGATCCACGGACTTCGCGCCACTTGCCGCAACTCGCAGACGATGCTGAGCAACTGCCTCAACATCCGCCCGGCGCCGAGTAGCGAAAAGCTGTACATCCGGGACGCGGTCGACGAGTCCGGCAAGAGCCTAAGCGTGACGCAGACGGCTTCAGCAGCGTCCGTCGGAGCTCAGCAGTCTGGAAATCTCCTGAGCAGCATCATCCAGGCGGTGGGAATGCAGCCCCAGCAGCAGTACACCATCACGGTGGACAACGGGGTACAGCAGCAGCAACCTTTGCCGGAAGCGCAAGTCAAAACCGAGAGGCAGACGTGAGTGGGAGATTCCCGATCTTAAGACTTCATTCTAAACTGTTCCTCTTTTCTTTCCTCTTAGTGCTTTGGAGGAGTTCATCCGCCTCAAGCCGGACATCAAGATAACGCCGCTGGGGAAGAAGGAGGCTATTACACCTGCCAAACCCCAGCAGCCTCCTCCTCTCCAACCGCAGACAGTGACGACTACAGTAAACACTCCCCAGTTGCAGCTACAGCCGCAGCTGGGAGATCAACTGCAACCCCTCTGGCAACAGATACAGCAGCTGCAACTGCAGCAGCAGCTACAGCAACTCACAAACCAGCTGCAGGCCACCACTCAGTTCACCGCCACCCAGGAGGATGTCGGCAATCCTGGCGACAGTAAAAAGCCGAAGTTGAACTTTGTGCTCTCTTCCCAATCGGCGCCACAATTCACCACCTCTCTGCCGCAGTTTACGGGAGGTCAGCCGCAGATCCAGCTGCAGTTGATGCCCGGTGGAGGTGGAGTGACGAATGCGACGACAGCGTCGTCCCAGACGCAGTTTAATGCCGCTGCTCTACTCTCTAGTCTGGCGGCTCCGCAATCAGCTCCCAATATGCTCTCACCAAACAAATGTTTTCTACCCATCACCATTCGGGACGAGAACTCCGACCAGCAGATCGTGGCGCATATAGACACTAAAAACCTAGTGCTGCCCACCACCTACCAAGTACAGATGAAGCTACAGCCTCAGCTGGCCACTGCCGACGGTCAGCCGATTATGCAGCTGACACCCACCTCCATTCCGGCCACGCTGCAGTTGACACCGCAGACTCTGGGAAATCCGGGAAGCAATTTCCAGGGCACGGCTGTGGCGCAAACCCAGTTTCTGGCGCCGCAGCCTCAGCCTGTCCAACAACAACAACCGCTTACACAACTGCCTAACACGGCACAAGTGACCTCTCAGCAAATCATAAGATCTCCACAGACCAGCACCACCAATCCGCAGTTGGTGATAAGGAACGTGACCAATATCCCAACGACTCCGACCACTCCCACGAGCACCAAAGAGGCGCCTGCTTTTAAGACTCCCCCGCCAAAGCAAAGACAAATGCCATCGCCGAAGAGCAAACCTCCAGTGGTCTCTCCCTCAGGAGGAAGCATTACTCCAGCCACCAACGAATTTAAGCGCCTGATGGTCCAGGCAAAGCAGCAACCGCAGGCAAAGCAACAGCAGCCCGCAGGAGCCGCTGTACCCTCTCAGACAACGACCTCGGCCAATCAGGCTGCCATGCAGCGACTCTCCTCGAACACAACCATCACTAAGGTAACCAAGCAGCCCGTTTCTGTGCCATCACCGGCTCCAGCACCCACTCCCGCCAAGTTGCCCATGCTAAACAAGCAGAATATCACCATCAGTCGAATCTCAATGCAAACAGCGCCTAAGCCGCAAATGAAGTCTCCTGCGGCAGCCGTTTCTCCTGCTTCCCAGCCCATTCCTCTGCCCGTTCCCGCACTAAACCAAGCCCAGCCGCCTCCATTGGCGTCGCAGCACAAGAAGGTCGTGCGCAAGCCACCCGAAAATCAGGAATCGCCCGGGCAGAAAGCGAAACCAGCGCGGTCACCCCAACAGATTCTGCCTTCGCCAAATCAGGAGGGGGAGGGGGGCTCTGCTAACGATGCGTTTTTGCCACCCTCATCCCTTACTTGTCCCACCTGCAAACGTGAGTTCAAGAAGAAAGAGCATCTCACCCAGCACGTGAAGCTGCACGCGGGCTTGCGACCCTTCAAGTGCTCGGAGGAGGGCTGCGACAAGACCTTCAGCCGCAAGGAGCACCTTTCTCGCCACTTGATCTCCCACTCGGGCCAAAAGATGTACACCTGCGAGTCTGCAAGAAGCCCTTCTCGCGAAAGGACAACCTCAACAAGCACAAGCGGTAAGTACTTCGCTTACTGTGTTACATACCTTCATTTCTTAATACCGACTTAATCTCTCCACAGGATTCACACGCAGCCGGCCAACGAAACGCTTTACTGTTGCGATGTTTGCAATAAGAATTTCGCCACCAAGCTGCACTACGAAAAGCATCGGGAAATGCACAAGAAAACTCGACCGGAGAGTGGCCGGCTGCTCCCGGCCACTTCTGCACCTGCCCAGGTCCGTAGCAATGGTCAGGTTCCCAGTAAGGTGAGTGGTTAGTGCGGCTTAGGCTGGTAACTACTAATCACCTTCTCCTTATTTCCCAAGGTTTACGAAATCAAGCAACAACGCACTGCTCAGCAGCAAACGCAAACACAAACGCAGCCGGCGCAGATCATGCATGTGGTAACCACCCAGGACCTGGCCGGAAACACCATAACGATCACCCAAGCACCCGACTCCAATATGCCTGCATCGCTGGCCAATTACGTACAGCTGGGCTTCTCCCAGTACCAGAATTCCAGCACACCAGCCGCCAAGTAATTATTCTGAAAGCTCGAGAAGTACTCAATTTTACCTCGTGTCCTAGTCCGCGATCTGTTCCACCTCATGGTCGCCAGTTCCTTAATGCTTTTAATTTTCGTTTAGTTTACTTTACCTCTTACTTTTTCTTTGTGCAATATTATTTATAAAACATTTGAAGCGTGTTTTCACGTTTCATTTATTTCCTTAATTTATTTTGTCTGTGTTATTCTGTTTTTATTCAGTAATTCGCAGCAGTTATATTAGGATAAACACCTAAAGAGAGTGTTTGTGTAAAGTTTCCTATTGTAAGGCATTGTAAATATCTGTGTATCTATGTATGTACAAGCTGAAAACAATTGATGGTAAAATACCTTTTTTGGGTGAAAAGAAATGATTCCATTGCAAAAATAAATATAATGTGTAATTTATGGCAAAAAGTGTTATGTGTATTTCGTTTGGTATTGCATTGGAGCCTTCGATTTTGTGGCGCTATAAAGCAGATGGCAGGCGGGCAGGCCCCAATGTTTACGTGATTATATTTGGTAAGGCTCTCCCCGCTGAAAGTATGAATATCAGACGGTTATTCCAATGTCGGCCAGATTTCTGAAAGATTTCCGAAAAATGCTCGTAAATCTAAGTCTACCATGCGAACGAATGAAAAACAAATGCAAGCACGTTTCCCATTGTTTTCCGAATAAAAATTTATAAGCATTGAAGAAAACCAATTCCATGAATTTTTGTGTTTACGCATTTAATTAAGGAGATGTTTAATACTTGGAGTGATATGGTGGGTATTACATGGAAAGCTTACAATAACGTTCAAAATCTAAATGGAAGACTTCAGCAAGCACAGATATTAACGTACATATATAACCAATTCTTTGGCCTAACAATTAACGATTGCTGTCAACAAGAAAACGGTGTAATAAACAACAATTGCGATAAATCGCAATAAGCAACGACAGAGTTCCTTAAAAAAACCCCAGTGAGATAACAGGGCTGATAAGAGAGAGGAAAAAAGTGCTTAGGAACTACGAGAACGTGACAACTAAAATTTGAGCATTATTGGAGTTGTAAATAAATAAGGTAACTAGTTTAGGCAAGAATACAATTTAGATACAGATACAATTTAGAGAAGTTTCTTGGAGCTGTAAATAATTAAACCAGCCAACTAATTAAGGAATCAGTAAAACTTATAGTACAATGTTTGCCTGTTAAAATAAATAATTTTTAATACTGCTTGAACAGGATCATTTTGGAACAGAATCAAGACAAAGCTATGAAAAGCCGGAATTAATAATCTTATTATAATGAATATCAATAAACGAAGAATGGGGAAAGCATATGAATACTACTGCAAAATAATGCAAATGGGGTGCGAAATCCAACAAACTACTTAATAAAACTACAGGTGAGGGGTTTTTAAGGGCGTGCAATGTTAGGTCTAAAGGTGCCCCGCCACCGAACTTCAGCCTTAGCGATTGTAGAATGCATTAAATAGGAGAATTTGTCCAGCTACCTGGGGGATTGGGGGGTTCCCTCCCTATCAGTTGTAGCTCAGGGCAAATTGGTTGACCTTCTGCACATCGCCCCACACCTGCACTGCCTGGATGTCGGAGAGGGAGAAGAGGGTCTCATACTTGGTTATGAAATTGTGGCCCGAATCCCTGCCCTGGTACACATGCATCATGGAGTTTGCGTAGTCGAAGACGAACTCAAGGCAAAACGAGGATTCTGTGGATGAAGTCAAAGTCAAGGCCTCGTCAATCTCGCTTATCATGCGGGCAAAGCTCTGTGTCAAATGGGAGTTCTTATCGCTAGCGCCTGTACCGTCGAAGATGTTCAGTTCAGTATCCTTTTGTAGACTGCTCCACTCGCCGTTCCGCTTGTAGTTCTCGATGATCGTCTGCGTGGGGATGATCACCTTGAAGTGATATGTGATGTTGTCCGTGCAGTCCGTACTGTTGACAAAGTTCACCGAGTATCTGTGGAGAATAGGAAAATAATTACATTACATAGGTGCTAATGACGTATTGGCCCTTTTCCTTAAGAATATTTATTCACAGTTCTACTATTTCTTGACCTAAGTACTTGTTGTAATCATTTATCAGTTCATAACAAGAAGCTAATTTTTTTGTCAACACGTTTAACGATTGAGACTCAAGAAATTGAATATCTACACAAATTACACACATAAATATTTTTCAATCCTTCAAACTTCACATTTTGCTAGTGACGTCGTTTCTTGAATGTTTGACCCCCCATTTCAAACGCTTAGTCATCGTAACTGTTTGAATGGCACATGGCTGTTAAGCAAGTTTTTTTGGGGACCGGAGCTCCCAGACATATACATATGTATATGTAGCTATTTATAGTGAGTAGGTGCGAAAACGTGCAGCGCATTTAAGGAATGGAATTGGAATTTCTGACGTACGTCCCATTATATTTTTCATTGTTGAAGGAACCTTAGTCACAGAGGCTTTAGAAATTCCCCTTAAATATGACCGCTATCTCAGATCAAAACTTCAAGTATTCTCGTGTAGTGCCTTATCCATCGGAAGATAAGAAATACAAGGTGTTCAGTTATGAAATTTATACAGTTCTTCAATTAAGAACCCGGATTCCAGAGTGATGTAACGATGGATATTTTGATTTATTGAGATCATTTAACTATTCATAAGCTGATTAACAATCTTCCCACCATCTTATTCTTCTTCCCGCCTTCATTATTACCATTTGTTACGGCTTTTGTTGTTTTTTGGTAGCCGGCATCTTCAGAGCGCGTGTCTGATTTAATTTCTGGACGGTGATGTCATGGGTGGTTGAATTGATACAGTAAAACCAGACAACTGATAAGTGGCAAGATTGCTTTATTGTCTCCATCGTCACCTCATAAATTAATAAGATGCCTTTGGAATTCCCAAAAACAGAACGCGAGAACTATATGCTATGGCATATATTATTTAAATTTCATAGCCCATTTATACGTTTCATGTGTACGCTATAAATCGTTTGCAAGTTTGTGAGAATTTCATATAACCGGGTCACGTACGAACAACATTTTAGGGCATTTGATTTTCTGCACGCAAAGAACCAATTTCTACAGGAAGTGGCTAATCGATTTTCTTAAAGTTTTAAGAATCCCAATATGTTTGGTGGGCAGAACTTACTGCTGGGCATCCTGGAGAAGGTTGGCGCTAATGGACATCCTAGTGACTCGATCCGATGCATTGGCATTGGTGGGCAGAATGGAAAAAAACTTTACATCGGGCATCTTGAAGGCTGTTTTTAAATATTACACTTTTGTTTCGGATTTATTTTTAGGCGGGTATGTAATTGCAAATTATATCCGGTAAAGGGTAAATAACTTTGCTGTGGCAGTTGCCAACGGTTACAATAACTCTAATAGCCGGCTGGGTAGTTAGCACTTGGCCGACTTGGTCAATACTGTTGGGGGTTTCACGAAGACGCGGCTATTTTAAGGGAACTCGAGGAGGATTGAAGCCCACGACGTCACGGGTAAGGTTCGTTCGAGTGCATATTTGTTCAGCTTTATTAAAATGATAAAACGCGCTGCTCTGTTCCGTTCACTTTCGCGCGCTATTAAAAACTGAGTAGGAATACTTTTGGGGAACCCGAGAGCCAAAATACCCCAAAGAGTGATCCCCCACACCTGTTAGAAAATTAGTTCCATATCGGACCCCAAAAAGAGCGCAGAGAAGAGAGTAGAGAGAGCATTTCCCGCCCGACGCAGTGGGACCATGTCAGGTCTTTAAATTTGAAAACGTGGCTCTGCCCCGCCGATAAATAAGTACTTTTATCGATAGCGTGCCTATAAGTCATGTGAAAAGATATAACTATTTATTTTTATTCAGAAATATCGATATATTGTATTTTTATACATTTTTCACATCCCCAACACCATATACTTACGTTCCTTTACCGACCCTTTACGTGGCTCTTACGTTTGCTGACACTTACGTTTGGTGACAGCGGCGCAACAATTGCGGATACGCCTAGGGTTCCAATTGGGATTTAAAAAAATACTTTCTTAAAAAGCGATACTAGCGATATATTCGGTAAAAAATATCCGATATTTATATTTATTTTTATTCAAAATATATCGATATTGGTATTTTGATACATTTTTCACATCCTAAACAAAATCAAAATCGCAGCGGAGTAACTCAGTTTAGTCAATTAAAAGTCCGCTCCAGCACAGCAAAAATATAACAAAATGAAGACGTGGTACATGGTAGTAGTGATAGGCTTCCTGGCGGCGCTGGCCACCACGGCGTTGGCCCTTAAAGAAGAGGACTGCGAAGGTAGGTGATTGGCCACGTAAGTGGTTAAGATGTTCTGGAGCAGATTTTCACCGGGCTCCCTTCTTTGGTTTTGGCAGTTTGTGTGAAGACGGTGCGGCGGTTCGCAGACTCCCTGAACGATGCCACCAAGAAGGACTTCAAACAGATCGAGACGGAGTTCAAGAAGTTCTGCAAGGCGCAGAAGAACAAGGAGCACAGATTCGTGAGTAGCCGGCAAACAAGTGCCGCCCCTCTTCTTCCTCTCATGCGGAAAAATGATACACGTATGCGTTATTCCACGTAGTGCTACTACCTCGGAGGTCTAGAAGAATCCGCCACGGGCATCCTCAACGAGCTGAGCAAACCCCTCAGTTGGTCCATGCCCGCTGAGAAGATCTGCGAGAAGCTGAAGAAGAAGGACGCACAAATCTGCGATCTTCGATATGGTAAATATAATATCCTTAGGGTAGAGAGGGGAATTATAGTATAAAATTTCAGGAACAGAATATATCCTCAATTCTTAGTGTATATATACATAAAAACATTACAATCCAGGATAATTACATTAATTAGTCACGTTTGATTGTACAATGCGTCCCCAAAGGGTGGCAATATGCTACTTAAAGCTTAGAACATCTGTCAACCTATTCTTCCAACTATGTAAATTGAATACTACTTGAACTTTTAAAAACATCTGTTTGTAAAGTCATAATCTCAAAGCGAAATGCTGGATGGGTAAAACTTTGAATGAATTGTTTGTGTTAGAACTAATTAAAAACAAACAATTACATTTTTCATTGATAAGAAATGTAGTTCAATAGTATAACCCTGTCACAACCCTTTTGCCCTTGAAAACCTTTCTAATCGAGTGTGTTCTTTGCAGAGAAACAAATCGATCTGAAGAGCGTGGACCTGAAGAAGCTGAAGGTGCGCGACCTGAAGAAAATCCTCAACGACTGGGACGAGAGCTGTGACGGTTGTCTGGAGAAGGGCGACTTCATCAAGCGCATCGAAGAGCTGAAGCCCAAGTACTCGCACAGCGAGCTGTAGAGCTAATCTAGTTACTTGTGTAGTTACATGGAACACGCCCACTTAGCTAAAGCAACAACCACATGAAACGCCCCCCTACACATCCATATTTTTAGTTAATTTACAATTTTGATAGACTTTGAGAGAATTGAATATAACTATATATACCTAAAGAAAACAATATATTTTGAAATAAAAAACAACAAACACACAAGACCTCGTGCTCTCAAACGGTTGATAAATAAACAGTTTGTTTTTATTTTCCACGTGTTAATCTTTTTCGGTTCTTGATCTCCTCATTCACAATTACAAGTATTACGTACAAATTACAACAGAAATTCACAAAATATCTGGATTAAAGTTTTATTTAAATGTTAAATACATAATTCCATTGCACTTACTGCCGCGGGCCGCGTAAATTCGATGTGAGCGAAGGGCTGGCTCGCCTCGACTAAATTACAATTATTAGTTAGACATAATTACTAAAAACGAACATAAGAAGCTAGGATGAAGATGTGTGGGAGTGAGAGTCTGCTTCTAGAATGCAAATTTTAATGAATTTAGATAGTGATCCTGGATATCCTTAACGGCGGTACGGCTGTTTATTGTAGCGGCCGCGCTCGTTCTCCTCTGATAAGTTGGCATATTCACTATAGACCACGCACCAGCAGTAGGTCATAATTGCTGAAAAATATTAAAAAATTTTATTATATTAGGTATAGCTTTAAAATTTAAATCTAATCAAATCTAAATTCTTGTATCAGGGTCAAAATAATAAGTTAAATTATAATTTTCAAATTGGTCCCTACTTTTCTTTCTGTGTAAAGCGAGAGGAGAGAACACCCGCACCACCGATTTATATGGAATAAAAGTCGGCCAGATTTGTCCCTACTACTTCTTCTAAAAAAATAAATGTAAAGGTTTAGGGATAGTGCTCAAAAGTGTGCTATGATTTCTTATTTTACAATCATGTAATTTACTTTCGATGTCAATCGTTTTCTACACTAACTTTTAAGATCATTTTTGGGCATTGTTTGCAACTAGATTATTTATTCTTAAATGAACATTTCCTTTAAAAAACTATAAAGGAAATCTAACTATTAGAGTTCAGTTGTTCAGTTATTTTTTGTCATTTTTATGACATTAGTCGCTTGGTTTAAGGGTCACCATCTCATTAAATTTAAGTATAATTACAAAAAGTTGGCAGTTGTACAAATGGCCACTTCGCGCCTTATTTGCGTGCACCACCCACACGGCAATCCCCCCTGAAAACTCCTATCCCGGGGCGCCGGCACTTCTGCTTTCAGCGCACGGGCAATCATCGCATGATAAATGGGTCTATAAATTAAAAACGGCTCGCAATAACCGCCATCCGGTGCTAAAAACCGCACATGGAAAAATCGCTTAGCCCCCCATTTCCACGTCCCATGGAAAGTGCACTTACCGCAGAAAATTAGGCCGAAGATCAGCCAGAGGACTCCCGTCAGCACATAGCCATCAATGAAGAAAACGACGCCCGTGTAGATGACGGAGATCAGCAGACCGATGGCAATCATAATGCCAAGGACCACCCAGGGAACCATTAGATAGTGGTTCCGCTGCGAAGACCAATTAAAATAATTGTCTAACCTTAAATGTTTTGAGCCACGACTTACCTTTAGAGCACCCGCAATCATAAGTAGTGATATTAAAATCGTCATACACAAATTAATAACGAGGATTATCTTAACTAATCATTGGGGATAAAATCAAAGATTATCGTTTTAAAGTGGACTCGTGTCGTAAAGATCACCACGATGGTAATGATCGACAGGATAATTGCCAGGATGCCCGATATAACGGAGCCATTCCGAGTCGATTGACACAGGCAGCAGGAGTTTAATAGGGGTTTCGGCATTTTGGCAGGGATATATTGGGGTTACCAACTGGAAATAAAGTAAAAGTAAAACGATTATTCAAAGGTTTTAAAAAATGTAAGTATTAATAATAAAAATAATACAACTGTTTTTGCCCTCCCTCTTTCTTCAAAATCAGTTTTTTTAAAAATTTAATTTTTAACAATTTTTAAAATTAATCCATTTTTAAGTGAGTGAGTATGGAAATTTCCTAAATTTTTTGGTTTTGACAAATGTTTATCACGACCCCAACGATGTGTAATTCTTCATTTGAACAATAATGAATTACGATTGTTTTCTTTTCCCCATGTTTTGTTTCCCAACGGATCGGACATATTTATGGAATTAAACTTGCCCACATTGACCGCCAGGCGATTGCAAAAGTATAGACAATAAACCGAACGTTAAGATCCAAAAGTTTGACCAGTTGTGACGTCAAGCAGACGAACGAAAATGTTTATAGAATAAAACCGCTTTAAAAATAGAAGGAACGAAGAAAACAATGGGCAGAAAACGTGAAATACTCGAGTGAACGTAAGAATTATATTTAGCAATGCTTTAAAATCGAATGAGTAATAAATCGTACTTTATCTGCAGGGATGTGAGCTGGAAATGGCAGTAGATGGCCGGTTTGGGAAAGTTGAAATCATCCGCGCATGCGCATGCGCACACGATCGGCGGCTTTGCAAACTATCTATGGGTTGCACCCATCCAAATAGCGAAATAGCGCCACCGGGCATTGTCATTAAATTAATCAAACGCTTAACGTGCTTGGGTCCCGGCTGCGGATTGATGTGGCGCATGTCGGCACTTGCAAATGCCGCTGCAGCTGGTTTGCATCCATGAGATATATCTCATGTTACATGTGGCCCGCGGCGGTCTTGATGAGATAATCACACGCCAAAATGTCTTGTCTTACATGGAAACGCTTTGAGTCATTACCAGTAAGAAAGGCCAGACTAAGCGGGCTGCCTGGGAAATTTTTGGCACACAGCTATAGTTCGGCCAGCAGATCAGAGATACAAATACTATTTGTATGTAAAACTCATTTCCGCTGAGCTTCACACCTCACGGAAAAAGATGCGAAGAATCTGGCCAACAGAAGTGCTATACAAATTGCGCAATTATCGGGGCAGGGGCGTCGGGAAAGGGGAGCGTGCCAAAGATCACATCACATTCTGTTCTTCTTTGTAAGGCATTTAAAAACTTTGTATAGTTTCGTCACAAGCTGGCGGGGCTGATAAATCGGACATATGGCGCATTAACATGCCGTATTTCAGGCGATTCGCACGGGTCTTACTCATGCGATCCCACGTTTGCGTCCGTTTATAAACGCTACTTCAATTGGCCACAGACCCCAGTAGAAGCATTTGTCTGGTTTCTATAACTTAGCCATCTTGGGTTACTTTCGGCAGCTATGGTATAGATATCTTTTGACCTGGTTAGGTGAACAAAGTAGAGACACTCGAGATCTCTACAAATAATTAGGGTCAGAGAAGACTGCGTAATATCAGGGGAATGGCAGATGGGAATTCGATATATCAACGACCTACCCACTCAAACGCTTAATGGCGTTAATATTCGCATGAACTCATCTAATGCTGACGTTGACTTCCGCTCGGCTCACACATAGTGAAATTACTAAAGGCTGATCTCGGAGTCAAGTTCAAGTCAAGGCGTGGGCGACTCTTTCCGAGGAATTTGTGCCTCCACTTGACGTAGGCTTGTAGACTGGGAAAGTGCTAGAGACTTGACAAGTGCAACTGGACGCAGTTGTCATTGCACTCTGTGGGTTGGTGGAGTTTCTTTTGAGTTTCTTGGTGTGATGGAGATGGAGTGGGTGTAAGTGTGTGTCAGATGCTGCCGAATGTGAAAGGTAAACCCTGTCAACCAACAAATGCAGATGAACTGGCAAAGCACTTTCCAAAAACCTGCAGTTTTGGGGCAAGGTAATTCGTGGAATACATGAATATTTATTGTTTACTTTAAAAGGAACGGGGATCCAGATACTGACTAGCAATGAGCAAATTAAAATTTAAGAAATTATTTAACACCAAGAATAAGAATTTAACTGGTATGTTATAAGAGTGTCTGGGAACAAGGTAAACAGTGATGAATGTCCCCTTCATATTATTTAAAATATGATATTCGTTGTATACTTTGAACTACAATATTATTAAAATTTCTATAACACAAATAAACGTTTATCATAACATTAATCAATGGCTGACCCGTTTGCCTAGGCCAGCGAAGTGAAAATATTGTCCATATAAATCATGTCAATTGCTATTGGCTATATGCTCTTGGAAAATTGGTTTAATCCGGCCCGCAATTGTAATTTTCGTGTGCAATGAGCACGTGTCCAGCTATTGTATCTGACAACTATGATATTGTTTTTGGGGCCTCAGGCGGAGCCAAAGCCAATTATTCTCGACTTTGGCTGTTGTGGACTTTATCGCTACTTTTGTTGAACTTTTGTGACCCTGCTACCCGCTGAACCCCGCAAAAAGCTAAAACCACTCAACAATTAGTTTGCGCTTCAACGCGTAATTAAGTTTGACATTTTTCTGCGCTACTTTTTGCGCCAGGCACAAAAGATATCGAAAAGACAAAGGCATTCTATAGTATCTGCGATGTGGCTGGAAATTGCTCAATCCACAATCTTCGACAGAAAGTGGGAGCCCGCTTGAGTGGCCGAGTCAGGTTTTTTGTTTGAAGCCCATTTTATAAACCGGTAGAAATCGTTCTACCAAATTTGACAAGTCCAAAGCACGGGGCATTTTTGGTTTTTTCATTTTATTTATTTATCCAATTTCTGGTATTCCAGCTCCCACTTGACTTTTGTCTTTGATTTTTTGTCAAATTGCCTTTTTTCTCGGCTGCTTTCAATCACTCGACTTGCCATATAAATCAATTAAAACCGTTGCAGCTGCAAACTCAATTGCAGCCTTTGAAGTTTTCATTTACCGATCGAGATTGTGTAATTACTAGTGTCAGCGGCGTCTTTTTATAAGCAAGATACAAATGTGCGCATCCAGAAGATACTTTTTGATTCAGCCTCACATTCTGTCAACATTTTCATTCCACAATTTTCAATGTCAGAGGGCGGCGACATTGACAGCGTTCAAAAACTTAATTCTCGAGGATCTTGAGCGAAAGTTAAGTCATAAAGAGATAGCCCATCAAAATGATTCATTTATAAGGCGGGTAAATAGAAAACGAAAAACACGAAACACTTATTAATAGCTCGCAAGGTCGCGAGCATTTCAACGGGGAGATCTAGAAATCTAGAAAATCAACAAAGCAGTGGAACTTTTGGAACCGCTCTCACAATCTTCTCCGAGCAGTGGCATCTGGGGTCAACAAGTGGGATTCTACCTTCTGGTTTTCAGCACCTGTTGGCCAAGATTTCGGCGCCACTGGTGCCATTTCGTTTGGCGTTGGTGTGCGAACGCCTTCGTTTATTCTGTCAGAATCAGAATATATTTTCGTTTGCCTTGTTTTTTTGTTTTTGGCTGTCTCCTATATGCTCTGTCGTTATCTTTTGCCTTGTAAATTGAGTAACCTTCACATTGTTCAATTTTCAATGGTTGCGCGTCACTGAACTTTGCCAAATGGGGAGATTTTGAAGCGGGATCGTCTTAGAGAACCCGTTGACTTCCCTTGTTAATTACTTCCCCAGAGGAGTGGCCTCTTGAAATTCATCACTCGACTCTTTCATTTGGCTTCGAATGTGATTTTTATGGTTCGCAACTGAGGCGAATAGCCAAAATGTGGCTCAATTGAAACGTATGCCAGGCACACAAATGTATATTACGTATACGCCCCCGCTCACCTGAGTCTCCCGATTCCGATGGCCTACTTATCCCTAACCCCGTCTGTTAACCTGTTCAACTTGGGATCTCCCAAAAGACAGAAGAAGGCTTGCAGGTTGTCGCCGAATGCGAACGCGATCGCAGACTTTCAATGTCAGCTGGCTGTTCTGACATCACCCAGTGGATCGCCTATATAGTCGCCTCTATATAGACTGACTTTGTTTTCATTCTGCCATATTTTCTCAGCCAATTGGGTCAGCGATCACAAATGCAAACAAACAGTTGCATTATTGTTTTTTAATTTTCTCGATATGCTGCCGTTTTTTTTTCTTTCAACTTTACCCCAGCATTTGCGGGAGCTCAGAAAAGTATCAGTCTGGGGTTCGGCGATCATTTGAATATTGAAAGTGCTATAGCTGGACAGCCAGCAGCGACAGCTAAATGAAATTGAATATATTTTGTATAAATAAGCACACACAGTCGACAAACCGCAAGGCAGACGAGCAAGCGCGCCTCAAGTCGGGGAACTGGCTATACATTATAGATAGGTCTCTGTATCTGGCTACTGGGGCTACCTACTCCTCCTCCTCATCCCCTCGAGAAACACTTCTCTGCCCGATCACACATATATGCATATCCACCTCCGTGGGCCAGCTGCTCGCCTGTTATTTCAATTTCGAGGCGATCGTTTATCACTCGATTTGCATGCGACGGCGATCGATTGATCTCCCCATCGTTTTGCATTTTTTTCTTTCCGCCCAATCGGCTGCCAACTGCCTGCATTTCTCCGCTGATAATGTCAGTTTCTTGGCACCCAGTCAAAATCACTTACACTTTCTACTTTTTTTTTTTTTTTGATTTGCTGGCGAACTGCAATGGGCAGTCTGGCGAAATCAATTTGATTCGCACTCGCACCTAATTAGTATTTGATATTTGCCAGTGCGTGCGTTTCAAAGGCGATTCGGGTACGACTTGCGCGCGATTTCGATGTGACTGCGGCGGGTTTCACAAAGCGACTGAAAACGCGGGCTGCTGCCGCTAACTAGAGAGCCCCGAAACGATCGCGATTTTTCTCTCATCTGCGAGCGTTTGTTGACTTTTCCGCTCGTTCTTGGCTAGTCGCTCGAAAAAGTTCTCAAACTTAGAGCTAAGATAGCTTTTGCGTGGCTGGCGAGGAGTTTTCTCCGCTAGCAGAAACCAGTTAGCAGATTGTCTGGCTGTTCTGTTCCGGCATGAAGTTATCAAACACTTGGTCAAACATTGGTGGGGCGATCGCCAACAGTGCTTTGCACTAGCCTAGCCAAACAAATCAGTAGACGTTCTCATTACTTGGGCAACGACATCCGCGTTTCCCGGGTTGGAGGAGCTCGAGATGCTGGCCTCAGATACCTCGGCGTGCCATGGCCCCATCTGCCTTTTTTGGGAATGGATCGGCTACTGCACTGTGGCAAATGTCATCGAAGGATTTCATTTGTGGTCGAACTTATTTTTAAATAATTTCGGTTGTTTCCTATCAACTGAAATCGCCTCACATATCTATATCACCCAAGGTTAAATGTACCATTATATTTAAATTAGAAAAAGGTCCTTGAAATATGTACCAGAACATCCTATTTTGCTGTCTTGAATAGGATGACTTAATTTTTTTATAATAAAAGAAATTTAATCGTAGGTTATGCCATCCTTACAACCAAGTTACTTTCTCAAAAGCACAGCCTGTTTTCCTCAGTGCATCGGCCGGCCGTTAGCGGCCAAGTTTTTGGCCAACTCTTCTGTAAAAGGTAAGCGCTAGCATTCGACTTATTGGCATCTAGGCGAGAGTTTTGTGGGCCAGTCCGTGGCGTGCAGCTACTTTCATATTTATCAAATCATGCCAGGTAACCCTTCTTCCCTCCGCCACTCCTATCTGTCTCCCATTGTATGCAAATTTCCTCAGCAAAGCCTAGTTAAAGGCTTTCCAGTGACCTATTAATAAACCAGGGGTTTCGATTTATGGTTTATATTTAACGTTATTAAACTATACCTATGGGGATTGCTCTGGGCTTAGGCAAACATCAATCTTTGTATCTCTCTCTTCGGCGCCCATCTTGCTCATCATTACTATAAAGGGGTTTCGTTAGTTTCGGTTAATAAAGGCACCAATCGACTCTCATTGCGCGCCATAATCTATATATATATTTTCTAATACATAATCGAGTCTTTCTGGCGGCTGCATATTATGTTTTATTTGAAAATTTATATATATACATTACAGTAAATAATTTAGTCAGGTAGGTGGAGAAATAAGAAATTAGATTACTTAATTAACGTACAGCAGCACTGCAAGTAAAAGAGAACGAAGACCGGAACTGAATCGAATCGATGTCCTTGGGTGGCACCACCTATTGCTATTGCTATGTCGCGTGCTGTACAGCCCGGTAATATCTATGCGTAGTTGTAGAGCGTTGAAATTTATACAATTCTTGTTTCTTGTGTATGTTGTTATGTTGCTTCATGTACAATTTAACCACGTGGTCGACTATCCTAGGTCCTGGGGCGAATCGGGGTCTTGGCTGACGAAAGACTGACTATGTGCCTAACCTGTCTGGCTTTGCATCCGGAGTCCGGATCTCTGCAAGGCCAGTGGGTCAACTATTTGCTTGTGCCGGCGGCAGCGGCTTCCTCCTTCTTTTTCTGTTTCTCGCGCATCAACTCGGCGTCCCTGGGGATGGAAGATACATGATATGGGGTTTCATATGGTACATAAATATAGCTATTGCTACCTGGCCTTCCGCTGCTCCACAGTGAGGTTATCAGTTCGCTTTCCCTTGGTGGCATCGCCTGTTTCTTCTGGTTCTTCTGGCGGGCCAGGTCGCGTTGGTTGCCACCTAGAATGTAAATCACATATTAATTAGTTAATACGTGTCACCTGGTCAGTGACGCGTGCTAGGCGTGATCTACATAATCTAATGATCAAGAGAGGTTAGAGGCGCTCACATGTCCTATGGTCTCGCCCATCGATTTTGCCTGCTCTAAGGTCTCAGAACCCAGGAATTACCCTTGGGAGATATTACCCAGCTTCTCCGTAATTTCCCCAGTTCCAGAGGTGGGTTCCCAGAGGCAGTTTAACCCATTTGCGTGCCATTCATTTGAATAGATACCGTTCCACTTATTTAATGCCTAGCGAACCATCAACAAAATGGCTCCATGATGCCCCCACTTACGTGTCATTTTGAAGGATCTCCCTAGGTTCTGGGCTGAAAAAATCTAAAATTTAATTTTAAGTTTGTTTACAGACTTGTCAATTTTATTCGCTCAGCGTTGTGAGTTTTTAGTTAGAAATAGTAATGGTTCTTTTCGGACAGTTGATTTGTTTTTATTGAGCGATAAGCGATGTGTCAAAAATAGGGATGTGGAAATATATCAAATATCATATATCGATATTTTTGAACAACTGTTTCTATGTTGGCGCCCTCTGGCGATCCAGTTAGGTTTTAGTCCTAAATTTTATTCTCAAATTTTGGAGAATGGTTTTATTTGGTTTCGAACCGCGCCTGGTGTCCCGGATATACCCGTCGGTATGTTTAGAGTGACCGTTTTTTGAGCAGACGGAATATTTCCCGCGCTTTCGCTGTTCAAAAACTTTCAAGTTGTGCTATGTTCAACATTTATTAATTAAATTAAATTGTTCAATTCAAATAAAAACATTCACGGAATTTCAAATTTATTACAAAACAATTTTGGTAAGTAGTATTACAATAAACTGGTGTCGCCGAAATATATAGGTTCTAATAATATATCCAAGAAACTCTTAATTGTCTTATATAATGCTATCCATTGAGTTGTTTCTGCTAGCGGGGGCAGCATATCGCCGTTCAAGATCTTCAAAAATAGCTCTGCAAGTCATGACATCATACTCCTTTCGTATAGCCCAAATTTCCAAGGTGCTCAAAAGTACAAATTTTGCGTGGGGGCTCTGAAATAGCGAAAAATTAGGTAACGTCTTGAATAATACAAATGTTCTTTTACCTCCTTCGGGTAATCTCGGGACCAAAGTCCTATAGCAGCCAGGTATGTCTTAATAAGCATTCGCCACATCCAGAACAGATGCGAGTCCCCCAGTTTGGGTATTGGGGGAACGATCACTTGATTTATTAAATCCGGTTTAACATCGCTAAAGTCCCCCATAATGGAATACTTAACTGACCTGAAAAATTTTGAAAAAACCGAAAAATTGATCCAAAAACCATAAAGACGGACTTCAAAATGTTGACTCTTAAAATTTTGATGTAAACATCATGGACATAATATGCCTACTTTAATTTAAATTTCATATCTTATTTGTGAGTAGGGAATAGGTGAAAAAGTGAAGTTATTGTATTATTTATGGCATCGTCTGTGGATATTATTTTCTTTAGACAATTTTTTTATATGATTAGTATGGTCTAGACTTAAGGACTTTCAAAGTAGCCATTGAAATGATTTCATCTCTTTTAATAATGGAAAAATAACAATAGTTGGTCCCAAGTTGCAAGAAAACACATAACTCACAAAGATACTTGTATAGTTTAATAATTAATCTGCGGATATACAATAACATTAACACTTAAATGCGTGGTAGATGCTTCTCTCCGGGGCTTCTCAGCAGAGGCTAATACTAGGGCTAGGAGCAAATGCAGATGCGGATGCGGATAATGGATGCGTCTAATGGGCGATGGGACGGACGCGATCAGGAGTGGATGTGGCATGGGACTACCTGCGCAGACAGGGCTCGCAGGTGCCCGGCAGGACGAACGAGGGATGGCACTCCGGGCACTTGGGGTTCTCGCCGAACCACTTGGCCCGCTGCTCGGGGATCTTCAGCTGGAACGAGTTGTACAGGTCCCCGCTGCTGGAAACAGAGCTTCCAACTCCCGCCGCCGCCGCTCCTCCTCCGCCGTACCCGTCCGCCCGATGGTTTCCAGCGGGAAGGCGTACTCCGGGATGAGCAGCTGCTTCCGCAGATGACTGATATCCGTGGAGCTGGCCACCACATCGGAGCGTCGCTGTGCCTGTTCCGGCTGCAGTTTCTCCTCCTCCTTGGCTTTGATGGATCTCGAGATGGCCAGCCGGTGGCTGGTACTCGACTGCTGGAGTGGTGAGGTAACCTGCACCGGCTTCTTTGGTGGCTTCCTATATCATTTAACCGGGTGTTGAATACATCCTGCTTGTTGGTGACCGCGTAGTCTCCGCTGGTCTCGGGATACTCACGGCCATCCACGCCAATTGGTGGGTCCAATTTGGGAGGCTCAAGGCCATTCGAGGGCACTTTCCATTCGTAATAGATGGGTGGTCCTTGAGTAGTGGCTATGTCGTGGGGCACAAAGTCCACAAAGGGAGGCAGCAAATCATTAAAAGGCATCTGTGCCGCGGCGCTGGTGGGGCAGCAGTGCTGGTGGGCGTGGCCAGGCGGAAACTCTGGGCAGGAGCTGGAGTCCGATCACTGCGTGGAGGAACTCCCACCGTGCTCACCGTAGTGGGCAAAGTGGCGAAGGAGAAGGGCACTCCGGCCACGGTAGTTGGTCGAGTCAATGGCCTGGGAGTTGTGGTGGTGCTGCCGTCGGAGCGACTGGGAACAGGACTGAAAGGAGCCGCCGTGGATGTGCGCAGCGTGGAGGAGATTACTCCTCCTGCTGGGGACTGCGGCTCCTCCAGATTGTAGATGGGGTACACGAAAGGTGGTTCGTAGATCTTCGAGGGCGGCTTGATGAACTTGGTCAACTTGGTGCTGCTGGACTGCTTTCGGAGTGGAGACTCCGCCGAGTTGAAGTCCGCTGAGGTGTTATACCGTGTGCTGTGACTGGTCCCCAAGTCATCCGTGTCCTGCTCCAATGTCTGGAAAAGGGGTCGTCGATTGTGCAAGGCTTCTGTGCGCCTGGTAGTCACCGGGGGTCTTCGAGTGGTCGTCGTCGTGGTGGTAGTTGTAGTGGTTCCCCGAGTGGTGGTGGTTGGTCGGGGGGTGGTAGTCGCTCGAGTGGTTGTGGTGGTGGTAGTGGTTATTCTGGACTTGGTCGTCGGAGCTGGCAGCTCGATTTGCGGCTCGTAAGCTGGAGGCAGGATCGTTCGGCTGGGCGGTGGGATGCGCCAACGCGTTTGTGATACTTGGGGATCCAGTTTTCCAGAACCAACTCCTTTCAAGGATTCGTCGCGAATCTGATTCTGGTTGGAAGTCAGCTGCTGCAAGAAAAGAAAACATTTTAGATATTCGTTGTGTTCTTCAAATATATAATCACCTTATATTGACTTCTGAAGGACTCTCCGGAGTAGTCAGGCGCATAGGGACGATCCAGAAGATCGGGTCTAGGAGTACGCAAGCTGTTCTCCTCATCATTCACAAAAGGCTTGTCCCGCTGACCTGTGGAACAGTTTCTCTGTATAATCCTTTAATATTTTTAATGAGATTTAATACAAACCAATAAGCAGATTGGCGGCATAGTTGCTCTCCGCCTTGGAACAGTTGACCATGTACCAGTGGTCGCAGATGAGCATCCGCTGCTGGAAGAGTGTGGTGTTTGGGCAGGTGTAGCTGAACTGCCGACCCAGGCCATCGCACATGTGGTACACCTGGCACCCGTCTCCACATCCGCATAATATCCGGCAGGACGTCCGGCGCAGGAGAACGATGTCTTCTGCATCAGCTCCGAGGCAGGATTCGTTGACTGAGCCTGCAGGAAAAGTGTGCATATTAATAATAAGAAAATTTATATTTATTATATTGGTAATTCTTCTGAAATTATATTTAAAAACTGTTCTTATGCCTCAAAAGGCTATTTGGCCTGTGTTGAAAATGCTGTTTACTATATCCATTGAAATGGTATATAATTATACCATTTCCATATATTACACTACGAATTCCATCGGTAATTAAATTCTAAATGTTTATCATTCTATTCAGTACCTTTTTATATAGTAGATTTTTAACCTCTCTATTGCCTACAATTATCATTAACTTTAATTCTCCCTGTCCAGTTGCGACTTGCATAAGGTACTAGCGAAGGGAGACTCATGACTTCATAGATCGGAATGCTGGGAAAATATTTTTCACGGGCTTAAGCGGAAGCTTCTGCACATGTTCGTAGATCCAGTGGCAGATTTCGATAAGTCATTGGGCTATAATTTGCCACTGTCGACGTGAAATTTTTTCATTATAATTAAACCCTTGCATGGAGAAACAACAATTTCCACAAAAAACCGACTAAAAATAAAGTTGACATTTCACACAGCAGCACAGGTCGACTGATGCAAGAAGCCGTGGCACCATGTGCCAAGTTATGACATCGCGTCAATTCATCACTTCTGGGCCCAAGTCAGGGCAGCATCCAAAAACCAATCCAACCTGCGGCTCGGAACCCCAACTCCACAATCCCAGCTCCCACCCAAAACGTAAGCTTACGACTTGCCACAATCACATTCACACACGCTGGGCACGAGTACTCGCTGATATCGATCTCTGTGTCATTTGTTGAGCTACTCCAAAAGTCGGGGGTCTGAGAAAGCCCCTGCAAAGGTGGCCAATTACAGATTATGCTCGGAAGACTCTTTATCTCCCTGGTTTATCTCACACATGCGGGTTCCTTTCACTCTAACAAAGTAAACAATCACTTGTTGCTACTTCTTATATGGTATATGGTTAGAATATCTTTACTCAGAAATGTACATTTTATATTTTGAAAATCGGTTATATAAGATTTGTGATATATTAGATGAATATTGCCATACAAATCTGATATTTTTTCTTCCGAGTTCTTATATCCAATTGCCGTTTATTAGAACCTTTTTTGGTTATAAGTGTTTTTATTAAATGTTGTATAAGGGTTTATATTTAAGTAATGAAATGTTTTTTTGGTTGTTGGATAATTTTTTATAGTTTCCAGAAGCATTGTTATATTAGGAACAGATATAAAAACTAAAAAAAAATCAAATAAAAATCATTTGCTTTTAAATTGACTGCTTGTAAGGTAACACAATACTCTGATTAGAAGCTTGTTAAACTAAATGGGGATTTCCCTTATGTGGATCGCCAAAGACACAAATTACGAGAGTTGCAGGGAGACGAATCTGGAGTGCTATTATTCCTAATACGACAGGGAATGGAAATCACTTAGGGAAGTACGGTTGTGCAATCCACAAGACACACATCCAAGATTTCCCGGCCGAGTTTTCAATTTCACGATGCCGTTTGTGTGTTTCTATTTCGGGTAATTTGCCATAATTTGAAACGCTCTTCAATTTCATTTCAGGCATCTTTACGGGCCACACTAAACACACATTCTGCGCCCAGTTGCCCACTCGTCCGTTACATAACAGTCTCAGCTCCGACTTCATCCTCGAGTCGGGCTTCGTTTTAATTTCTTGTATGCAAATAGCGAAAACAATCAACACACTATTCTCTCTGGTGTGTGTTCCATTTTGCAAAAGTGTCAGACGAGTCGGAAAAAAAGGTCACTTGGTCAGCGGAGTCTTTTGTTTTTATTATATATCTATCTCGTACCCCAAGACCTTTGCTTGGCTGAATCTGAAGTTGAAGCTGAATCATGTGTGCCGGCCTGTGTGTGAATTGTGGGTTGTGGATGTGGATGCACTCGTACACACATAGAATAAATTAAAAATGAAACAAAGCGTAAAGAGCGCCAAATTACAACATTTTCCGCCGTTGCTCAAAAAGTGTCTTGGGAAGCAATTCGGTGGCAAAGACGACCAAAATGTCGGTGGCACAGGGGCAGGTCTCCACAGGGTTTCCTAAGGTCGAATAAAACCCTCAAACCCATCAAATCAAATTTAATTCTGAATAATGTTACTACTCTCCTGATTCACAGTGTCAGAAATGGCAAATTAAACAAAGTAATTGACACTTTTTTACGGCATTTTGATTTATTCGTTCCCTGCAAGCATGATTTACTGCTGAGGCATATAAACTTTTTACTTCTTGAGGTGCGCAATTAATTTGCTATCAAGTTTTACATTCAATTTTACACACTTTTGTTTAGATTTAACAACCTATTAAAACAAAAGTCATTTAATTTAAAAAACAATTAAAAAGTGAACCTAAAATAATTATCTTCTGTGATTAATTCTAAATCGAGCTTTTAATTGTTGAGACGCTTCCTAGGTATGTAGATAATATTTGCTTTTTAATTTATGATTATGATTCTTGTTTAAGAAAGGAATGCGAAATCAACTTGAACTCAGATAAAATGTGTCATTTAAATTAAAACTGAAAACTTGTTTGCTTGACTTTCTTTATTTGCTTTTATTAAGTTAGGTAAACTTATTACTAGATATCAGATTTAATTTCAAGCAAACATCAGACAACCACTTTTTCGTGAAATAAAAATTGACTTATGAATTTAATTTGAAATAGGTATTAAGTACTGATAATAAGATTTGGCTTATGGGTCGTTCCATATTAAGCTAATATTATGAACTCTGTCACGCCCTTCTTTCAATATGGGTAATTCCAATGCATTCCTATGTTTACTTATCAGTTATGAATAGCAATTACTGACCACTGATCCAGGGGTCACGTTTTCAATAATGATAATCACCCTTCTAACGGATTACCAATTCCGAAGATGCTTTCATTGTTGTGGGCCGGGTGAAAATTATATTGTATATGAAGTTTATCTAAATACGTTTCTGAATGCCCACTTAGTGAGGGCTTCATTAGCATTGATCGTACAAGTGCTTACAATATTTTAGCTATTAATTATTTGCAATCTTCGGAAGGAAGATAATAAGCACCTTTGCCGCACAACAAATACGGCGTTTAAATATTTATACAATTCCGCAATTTGCATTTCAATGCTCTCTCACGTGCACAATCATCTTTGGAATCTGGAATCCGCTGGCATATCTTTAGGATTCCCCGATCGAGCCCCTTAGGCTAAGGGTATATGTCAGACTTACCTCACTGGCCAAAAATAAAGCTGAGCAGAACAAAGCCAGGGTCAAAAGTCGCGAATGCGTTGGGATAATTTGCGTTTGCGCCAACATTTCGCCGATTGTTCTCTCTTTCGGGATCCGTCCGGGGGGATTTGGGGGTATTATACCGTGGAGAGCTTAAAACTGAAAGTTATTAATGTGATATTGAATGGACTCTGGGCACAATTGATGGGAAAGTGCAGCAGGGCCTATAAGTTGGCGCTAATTGCCTTATACAATAGCTCGGATCTTAACAGCCATTCCTTTCCATCATCCACCCGTAGCATAATAATATGTCTTTTGTTGCCAATCTTTGCGTAACCGAACTCTGTTTACTTAAGTAATAACTTTCCCAAAAATATCTCCCCAAAGGTGATCATGGGCGATAACAAAATAAGTAGCCACTGGGCTTTTTTTGTCACTGCCCATCTGAGAGACTAATTTTCTTCGCTTCCAAGCTGTTGTTCGACTCACAGCTTTCGTAATGAATTGTAATTTAAAAAACATTAACTTCTGTCGTTGGTGCCGCTTTATTGGCTGACAGAATTCGCCACACTCCACCCCTGCATCTGCTGATTCTTCTGCTCTGCCTCGACCTCCACCTACAATTGAATTCTGCGACCTTGCCACTTGCCACTCCGCTCCTCGCGAAAATAACCAGTCACACCGATAAAACTGTCAATCGCAGTTGCAAACAAAGCTCCAAAATGGAGAATTGCACTTTATGACCGTTTATAGTAACCAAATTGAGCGAAATTGACTTGTCCAGCAAAGGCTCTAAGCATTATGATATCCGCTTGGGTCAAGAGCATCTTTATAGGTCTTATGTTGGTTTTCCAAAATGCCAAATGTTGCGAAAAAGTTATCTGTCTGGCACTAATTTGTCAAGTTCCATTAGGTGTCACTACAAGACTCGCCTTGCCGTATTGGCAGCTCCAATGTATCTTCAGAATTTGATTTAATGTTGCTGATATTTGCTAACAGCTTAAACACTCTTTTGACACAAACAAAAAATCAGATAACATCAGAGAGATACTGTCAAAAATTGGCAGATTGCTGTCAATTCTTTTGATGAACTAAATGTTACCAAATAAGAAATTTTTTTAAACTTTTAATTTATAACCTTATTTTTGATGATATGAAAATGATCAACATATTTGATACGATTGTTTCAATTTTCCCCTTTTTTTATGATATTGCTATATTCATTGAAGATAAAGTTTTAAAATTGATTAGCAATATTATATGTTAATAATAACCACTATATCCCTGCAATTTGAGTGCATTTAAATTTTCCAAAGAATAATACTTTTTAAATGGTCAACAAATCCACGTTTAAAATAAATTAAATGAACAACTAACAATAAAACATTATTTCCATAAATATATTCACTCCCCCACTTTAGCTACCATTTAAGTGCACTTTTGCAATTAACTTTGCAATTGAAATGTTTTTTAAAGGCATAAAAGCCAATCGTCGTCGTGTAATTTATTAGGTTAGCAGGTTCGCTGAACATCATTTCGTAGAGCTCCCAAAGTTCAGTTGCCCAATAAAATCTCATACTTTTCAGCTAACGAGATCATCTGTCTCAATGCTAACCGCAACATTTGTGGCAAGTTGTGGCCAGCAACGATTTGAGCCAAGTGCGTGTGGCAAAAGCAAAAGCAGCAGCGGTATGAAAAAAATAAAAGCTACTCCAACAATACTGAACTGGCATCTAGTTTGGCGGTTTTTCCTTGTCTTGACCTTTTTGACAACGGAAAATATTTACCGCTTTATCCTCCTCGGGTTGAACTCGTGATGCTGGTTGCAGTTTTATTTCTTGCGTTTTTTTTTTCGGTTTTCTAAGCTGCCTTGTGGCCAGCAAAAGGCGAAGCCTATTTGACATTTTTGCCAGCCATTTCCACTGAAAGAGCATTGCGAATCTAACCCGAAGATGCTCAACGGCAAATAATAGCAGGCAGATACAGCAACAATTATGCCAATTAGCTGGCATTACAGGTTGATTACGGCAGGGCCCGGCTAGGCCGAAGTTATTTTGCCCAGCCATAGTTGGCATTTTTTCTAATTGTTTTCGATTCGACCCCCCGACGGGATGGGATGCAGAGGAAGTTATTAAGATGCAAGCAAAAGATGTTCGATGGCAACCGATTGGCGGGCTCACCTTCGCCCGCGTCGCTTGGGGGAGTATCTTCAAATTGTACAAACTAATTGCCGCCGTAGGTGGTGTGCTAAAATGTATTCCATATGGTCGCGGACCTCTCTTCACACATCCACTATCCAATAATGCGAGGTGATTCAGTGCGATGTGATCTTTGCAAAGATCAAATGTCAGAGACAAGCTGGAAATGCAGTTGCAATCGCAGTGGCTCTAAACAAAGTCAAGAGCACTCGCTCATCAAAGCCGCACCAAATTGGTTCGCATAAATTATCTGGCATACGATATGCTATAGTCATGCCATCAACACAATCTAGCACATTTATTTTTCACAGTCCTTTGGACGGAGCACGCCTACTGGTCTCGAACTCTATATTTTGTATCTGAGGGTTTCGATTTCGCCCGGATCAAAAAACAAACACAACCGCTTCGTTCGAAGTCGCGCTTTCAACTGAAGACTCCGAGTGCACCCAGCTCGGTTTAAGATTCACATTAGGCCGCCCGCTACAGGCCAGGTCTTCTCATCTGGAGAAGAGCCAAGCCGAGCTTCGTCATCGGACTGCTTTGCACAGTGGGCGAAATCGACGCCCACGTGCGCCAGAGGAAATTCTGTTAATTTGTAAAGAAATCTATGCAAATAGGTACTTTCGAATGCGGTCAAATGAGGTAAGTTCTCAGCTATAAAGTTGGTAATTTGCAGTGGTTTTGGGTCTGAATCGGCATCATAAAGGCATGGTTTTATGGCAAGGTAAATTCTTTTGTTGGACTACATAAACTATTAAAATATTAATGAGCCTTTTAACCAAAATATGTTATAACAGAATCTTTTTAAATTATTTATTTTAAAGAACATTCTCAAACATATCAACTAGATTCATTCATTCATACCGTTCAAAGGAAAGTTCTTAGATTTTGTATTATTGACATACCATATCATTTTGAAATCAATAAAATTAAAAATATCTTATTTATTTCTTCGAAATATCAAGTTCAAATGTATCATATCGTCTTTTTTATTGATATGAAATAAGATCACTTTGACCCCATATCATTGTTTGCATTAAGGTAAACAGAATCACAAGCGAGGTAGTTCCACTGTGCCAAATCTTCTCGGACAGTTAACGAAGTTCAGTCGGGTTTTTTTGAAGCCCAGGCCAGCAAAGCGTTAACATTGCAGCTTAATTTTCATTTTCAGCTAGATTCTCAGTTTCAATTTACCGTTAACAGCTTCGTTTTCATTTCCATTTTCATTTTCATTGCACGTTATTAGCATTTGCAATGCCACCGTTTAGGGAAACCCTTCACCCACTGGTGTTTATTTGTCTAATTTATTGGAACGTTTAGGTTACTTTGGTGTTGGTATACTGAAGTTATACTGACGGTATACCGATGGCACTAATGGTACTGGCACTTTGGCAGATGGGTATGCCGATGCAGACAGAAGAAGTGGGCTAAATAGAGCAATCGAGCGGGGCCAAAAGATCTGAGCCAGATTGGGCGGCATATTGCGAAAGCATTTTCCCCATCTCAGATTCGCTTGGTCTTTTGGCGGCATCATTGTCAGATTTCTGGCGGCTGGGTTTTGTAAGCGAAGATTTCCATTTTACATTTTCATCTTCGTTTTCGATTCAAGTCGTTTATTTACTCCTCAAAGCCCTTTTGTCGTGGTGCAGCCAAAAAGCCAAAAAGACGAGAACCGCCAACAGTTTGGCGCACTCAGGTTTTCGTCGTAGTCGTGTGTTGCCTCATTGAGTTGCCGGGTTTAATATTCGCTGGGCGTTGGGTTTCCCTAGCTTTTCCCCTTCCCCTTACCAACTCATTTTAGCATTTTCGTGACGGACCTGGCAGGAAGTTAAAGTCGAATGTGTCGATAGTCAATCGATGGTTTATTATTGTCGTATTTTGTTTGCTGCTGTCAAAAATAAAGAAAATAACACATATATAACGCTGCGCGTACGTTGTAACCTGGAATTTAGTTGGTTATCTCCTGGCTAACTGGGGGCAGCCTAGGTGGAAGGGGTACTCGGCCCCTCCTGGACCCCCGGCTTCTGCTCCTGGTTATTCATGGCCAGCGAGTGCTGCTGGAAGTCGGTCAGGATGCGGCTCTCGGGGATGTCCGTCTCCACGCGGCTGCCCACAATGTCTATCTCGCTTTCCTTCTTATCGAAGAATATGTCAATAATAATACGCACGCCTGGGAAAGGAAAAGTGTCTTTTGTAGTAAGAAATCAATAAAAGTTCCTAAAAATGTGAACTCTTCCGTAACTTTAAGTCGGTATAAGTCGAACTAGTTTTATTGGTAATATTGACTTTAAATGCTCTTAAAATGTATTAAATAACTCGAAGTATCTGTATCTTTTTTAATAGCAGATAGTGGTTCAAGTGTTGCAAGTTTGACTATTGTTAATATGATGCAATTTTTAATAACACTTTTTAGTTTACTCACCTTGACCAGTGCGTCGAATGGTGGTTTTGCTTTGGTAGGACTTCTCTACAGCATTGCTGTCGGACTGATTGTCATCGTTGTTTGAGCTGAAGTACGAGGACTCACCGGTGGTCACTCGAATGGTTCCTTGACTGTTGCAAACACAACTGATTAGTAACAAAAAGGATGTCTTAAGGACTGAAACCTCACCCTCCATTGGCGGCTGCTTTCTCCTTGTCCTCCGAAAGCGACATGTTGCAGCTATTGCCGCCTTCAATTTCCGATCCCTTCTCCTCCTCCGTTTTCGAGATGGAGCCAAAGTACAAAGACTTGGCCTGCTCCAGTTCCTGGTTCTTCTGGGTGGCGAAATTGTACAGGTTGATCATGTCACGCACCCGGATGGGGGTCTCCTTCCGCTTGCGCGCCCCTGTCTGCGGTACCGGTGTCTGGAACTGGGATGGCGATTGGGATGGGGACTGGGATGGGGATTGGGACTGGATCTCTGGATCCCGCTCGATCTCCGGACCCGGGTTTGAGTTATAAGACAGGCTGCTGCATTCCTCCTCAACTGTGTTCATGGCGATGGCGCTTGGTGTAGTCTATTTCTCTCCCTAAACAAAGGTGGTCACTGAAAAGGCCTCGAAAGTTTCTAGTAGAATTCAAGACTTCCGATTTTTGATGCTCGAAAATTCTATTAACCTTTTGTGTCTGTGGGAAAGTAATAACTAACTCGAAATTCGTTTCTGACAATGTCAACTGAAATCGAATATGACCTTTACATCAAAGAGATCTTTGGATCGTGTGTGTGTAGATAAGTATAGCAAACACTTCATGTAGGTCCCCCTGCCAGCAATTCGTTAGCAATTACGGTAACGAAATGTAAATGTAATTCATCTCCGAGCTGCCGAAGACGAATGGATGGAGGGCGACCTTCAGTGCGGCAATCGAAAAACAAATTCGATCGATCGGATAGCATGATTGATCCCACAGAGGGGGCAGTGATTGAGGAACGTTCGGTGATTAGTGAAATTTGAGACACACGCTGAATGCCAATGGAATTGTCTTAGAGCGGATTTAATGCAAGTTTTTTACTCACATTTTCACCGTACGTGTACGTATGTACGCTATTAACATTTTGAATTTTGGAATTTGAAATTGGGTGAGCAATGACTTGCCGTTGCCACAGAAGCAACATCATCGTACCAGCATCATCATTCGGTAGCTTCCAAGCTGCCAGCTGGAGGTCCATTTGACACACCATCCCAACGAAAAACAGATCCGATTTTAAGGTCAATCTTATGGGCAGCGACACTTGAAGATTGACTCGACCACAGCTCAAGATTCGCAATCAGCGCTGCTGGCACGGGCAAGGTTTGTTAAGCTCTGATTAAGATTGGAAATAATGGAAGGCAATTGAACACCATTTTCTTTGCTGACAAAACGAAAACCAATAAGTCTTTTAAGAGTATTTATTTTAGACTAATTGAATATTATGATTTATTTTTTCGGATTAGATTTCTGAACTCAAATGATTTACAAAAGGGTTTAATACCTCTAGTGCTCTTAAAAAGATGCAGTTTTAGGTTGATATTCATATTGCTTAATCCAACGGTATCCGATTACAGATGAAATTCAAATATAATCCCCTTTTAATGAATCGCAACATTCATATTCCCAGTGCTATTCTTTTCTCCACCGAATTGAATTGGGTAATAAATCGCCATGAGTTAAAGTTCTCAAACATTCTTTTGTTCCCAAAAAAATAATTCCTCCACATTGACACCCATTTTAATAACAACCAAAGTTTCGTAACAATGAGGTTGGCCAAACATTCTGACTAATGTCGACATGATGAGGTGATAATGCAGTGTAGAACTGCCGAAATTAATTTGTACCTCGTTGTGGGCTCCCGTGATCGACATTCTATGACTTTTAATTCTTACATATCACGAACTTGGAATTCGTTTCTGTTCTGCCCTGATCTGCTCGTTTGTGCTTTGGCAATTAGCCGCGATGTCAAAGGGGATCATCAGGGGCTCCAGTCATGGCAAAAAGAACAGTGAGGTGTGGGACCCACAGCAGAATTCACACAACAAAAGTACGTATGTACATAGGTGTGTCATCATCATCATCTCTGGCTGTGATTCCGTTGAAGGTCGAATGGGGCTACGGCCACAGATACATTTGTATCTGCCATTTATGCTCAGTGAATCTTTCTCGCTCTCTCATTTGCTTAAAATCCCCCTGCTTGCCGCCCACTCGCGGAGACTACACATGTTTAATTGCCAAATTGGTGCAATTCCACATAATTCATGCCGATAGTTGGAGTCGCCGCCACTCAGGCAGTTCTCCGCTGGCGGAGTTGTTTATTTGGCAAGGTCCCCGGCGTGTTGGTTCCAGTGAAGAGCTTTACGGCTTAGCAAATAAAGGCAACACCGCGTCTCCCGGGGGGAGATTCACACGTTTATTAAGAGGTTTTTCTTCTTCTCGGCTTAAGTCGTGCTGCGCATTGAAATCGAAAGTGGAGCGGATAAGCTGGCATAATTGATAACGAGCAAGTCATATGGAAATTATTGCGTATACGCATGGGGCACCAAAGAGTGCTAAGAGGAAAGGTAAACCTCTTTGCCACCGCTGACTAAACAAGTAGCTCGAATGATAGTCCCATCCGGTGGTCGCTGGCAATTTCAGCTGCTAGTTGCTACAAATTTGTCAAACCAACAATGCAGCAAGGTCAAGTCAGTCCGCTCAGTCCGCTGAGCGATGATGATCACGTTCGCGTCCGGCGTGCGGTCAGCTCTGCCATATCATTGACCTTAAGTGACGAACATGAAGAGCAATGAATAAGCCAAGATTATCACCTTTGGCAGCATTTTATTGCACTTACACAGGCAGGCCGCCAAAAACGGATTTGAAGTTCAATTGCAGGCATCTCTGGTGCTCCAGCTTCCTCGGCTCTCGACTCTCGACTCTCCAATTCGATTTTCATCTCCATTTCGATCTGCCACGGACCTACCAAGACGCCCATGGCACAT